CCTGCGCTGTTCTTTCGTCTGCTCGGCCCTCCCCGGGTTTGCTGCTGGTTCTTCCTGGGTTGGCTACTATCCCTTCCACCTCCGTGGAAGGGCAGTTCCCCCTGCCACATTCCCCACTTCCGCAGGGGAGCGGCACACCGCCGGCCGGCTCTCTTGGGGGCTGCACGGGTGTTCCTTCAGCTAGATGTTCCCCTTAGATGTTCCTGGTGCATGCCGTCTCTCTCCTCCTTTATAGTCCTCCTCCGCCAATCCCAACTCAGCTGCCCACACGCCGAGTACGCTGCTCTCCAATCAGGAGCAAGTCCTACAGTTAATTGGTTGAACTGGAGGCAGCTGTGCGGAAGCTGTTTACTTCTCTCCCAGCGCCATATTGTGGGAGAGCAGATGCATAGAATAAGTCCCAATTCCAGTAACTCAGTCCAGTCCGGATTGCTCCCCACAGTTTAGAGAAGGTCATAGTCAAAGTGGAAGTTCTCTCCTCCCTTCAGAAAAAGGTACCTCCTTCTTTGAAGACCTGTTCTTTCCACTGGGATCTCACTCACAGAGATCTTTCATTTAGTTTTTTTTTTTTTTTTCCCCAGAGTGTCTTGGCGTTCCATGCCTGAAATACTCTCATGGGCTTTTCAGCCAGATCCGAATGCCTTTAGGGCTGATTCTGAGGCCAGAGTGCTGTTTAGGACATCCGCCATTCTATGAGTCTGCTGAGTATCTCGCTTCCCATGTTGGATTGCTCTCCCCTTTATTTATTCTATCGGTTAGTATTAGCAGGCACTAGACTTGTTTATGTGATCCCTTTGGCTCTTAGTCCTCTCATTATGATCAATTGTGAACTGAAATTGATCACTTGGACTAGTGAGATGGCATTGGTACATGCCACCTTGATGGGATTGAATTGGAGTCCCCTGGTATGTTTCTAACTCTACCATTTGGGGCAAGTCAGCTTGAGCATGTCCCAAATTGTACATCTCTTCCCTCTCTTATTCCCACTCTTATATTTAACAGGGATCACATTTAAGTTTAATTTTAACACTTAAGAATAACTGTGTATTAATTACAGAATTAAACCAGTAGTATTAAGTAGAACAGACAAAAAAAATACTAAGAGGGATAATGTATTAAGTTGTTCATTTACAGTCAGGGCTATGCTGATCAAGTCACCGTTTCTCATAGTGTCCATTTCACTTCAGGAGGTTTCCTTTTTGGTGTTCAGTCAGTTGTCACTGATCAGGGAGAACATATGATATTTGTCCCTTTGGGACTGGCTTACTTCACTCAGCATGATGTGTTCCAGATTCCTCCATTTTGTTGCAAATGACTGAATTTCATTGTTTCTTACTGTGGTATAGTATTCTAAAGAGTACATATCCCATAATTTCTTTATCCAGTCTTCTGTTGATGGGCATTTAGGATGGTTCCAAGTCTTGGCTATTGTGAATTGTGCTGCAATAAACATTAGGGTGCAGACCGCTTTTTTGTTTGCCAGGTTAAATTCCTTTGGGTAAATTCCAAGGAGTGGGATGGCTGGGTTGAACGGTAGGGTTATCTTCAGGTTTCTGAGGAATCTCCAGACTGACTTCCATAGTGGCTTGACCAGTTTGCATTCCCACCAACAGTGTGTTAGTGTCCCTTTTTTCCCACAACCTCACCAGCATCTGTTGTTGGTAGATTTCTGTATGTGAGCCATTCTAACTGGAGTGAGGTGAAACCTCATTATGGTTTTGATTTGCATTTCCCTGATTGCTAGTGATCTTGAACATTTTTTCATGTGCCTGTTGGCCATTTGGATTTCCTCTTTGGAAAAATGTCTATTGAGGTCCTTGTCCCATCTCCTAAGTGGGTTGTTTATTTTGATGTTGTGGAGTTTCTTGATCTCTTTGTAGATTCTGGTTATTAACCCTTTATCTGTTGCATAGTTTGCAAATATTTTTTCCCATTCTGTCGGTTGTCTCTTCACTCTCCTGACTGTTTCTTTTGCAGTACAGAAACTTCTCAATTTGATGCAATCCCAATAGTTGATTTTGGCTTTGACTGCCTGTGCCTCCCGGGTCTTTTCCAGAAACTCTTTGCCTATGCCAATATCTTGCAGGGTTTCTCCAATGTTCTCTAATAACTTGATGGTATCAGGTCGTAGATTTAGGTCTTTAATCCATGTTGAGTGGATTTTTGTGTAAGGTGTAAGGTAGGGGTCTTGCTTCATGCTTCTGCACATGGAAATCCAGTTTTCCCAGCACCATTTATTGAATAGACTGTCCTTGCTCCAGGAATTGGTTTTAGATCCTTGATCAAATATAAGTTGGCTGTAGATGTTTGGGTTGATTTCTGGTGTTTCAATTCTGTTCCATTGGTCTATCTATCTGTTTCTGTACCAGTACCATGCTGTTTTGATAACAACTTCCCTGTAGTATGTCCTGAAATCTGGTATTGTGATGCCTCCAGCTTTGTTTTTGTTGTACAAGATTGCTTTAGCTATTCGAGGTCTCTTGTGCCTCCATATGAATTTCAGCATCATTTTTTCCAGATCTGAGAAGAAGGTCTTTGGTATCTTGATTGCTTTTTGTCTGTTGCTCGCCTTTGCACGGTTGGCGGAGTGAGAAACTTGTCTGTACCAGTACCCCCCAACCCTTTTTTTTTTTCCTTCTCTCCTGTAGTCAGTCTGGTGAACTTTCCCGCCTCAAAGCCCACTTCCCTCTAAATTCTGACCGCCGTTTCCCCGCCAATGTCTCCGGTTACTGAGCTCACCTCCCCTTCCAGGGCCGATGTGTGGACTCAGAGCCCTGGGCGTCCCTGCTCTCCCTGCTGGTGTCACTTTGCCTGTTTCTTAAATGGATTGTTTTGTTGCTATTGAATTTCTTGAACTCTTTATAAATTCTGGATGTTAACCTTTTATCAGTTGCATAGTTTGCAAAAACTTTCTCTCATTCTGTTGGTTGCCTCTTCACTTTTTATTTCTTTTAGAGTGCGCAAGCTCCTCAGCTTGATGTAATTCATTTGCCAATTTTGGCTTTGATTGCTTGTGCTTCTTGGGGTCTTTCCAAGAAGTTGTTGCATACGCCAATGCCTTGCAGAGTTTCCCCAATGTTCTCTAGTAATTTGATGGCATAGGATTGTAGATTTAGGTCTTTGATCCATTTTGAGTGGATTTTTTGTGTAAGGTAGAGGTCTAGTTTCATACTTCTGCATGTGGAGATCCAGTTTCCCCTGCACCATTTGTTAAAGAGACTGTCCTTGATACAGGGGTTGATTTTAGCTCCTTTGTCAAAGATAAGTTATTTGTAGACGCATGGTTTGATTTCTGGAGTTTCTATTCTGTACTATCAGTCTAGAATTTTTTTTGCCAGTACTAGACACTTGATTATAACCGATCTGTAGTATGTCTTGAAATCAGTTATATTGATGCCTCCTGCTTTATTTTTGTTGTTTAAGATTGCTTTAACAATTCAATAAATTGTTATGAATTTTAGCATCATTTTTTTCCAGATCTGAGGAGACTGTCATTGGTATTTTGATTGTGATCACAGTGAATCTGTAACTTGCTTTTGGTAGTGTGGGCATTTTGATGATGCTGATTTTTCTAATCCATGAACATAGAAGTTTTTTTCCATTTTTAAATGTTTTCTTCTGTTTCATTCTTTAGTGTTTTATAATTTTCATTGTAAAGATTTTTGACATCCTTGATTAAATTTATTCCAAGATATTTAATTCTTTTTGGACTTATTGTGAATGGGACTGATCTGACATTATGTCTGTTTACAGAGGCTATTGATTTTTGTGTAGATTTTATATCCTGCCACTTCTGCAAACTCTTTTATGAGTTCCAATAGTCTCTCAGTGTAGTCTTTTGGATCCCCTATGTATAGGATCATGTCATCTGCAAATAGAAATAGTTTGATTTCCTCCTTTCCAATTTGTATGCCTATTGTCAGACAAAATAGACTTTACCATAAAACCTGTTAAAAGAGATGAAGAAGGGCAGTATGTAATGATGAAGGGACCAATTCAACTGGAAGATGTGACTATAATAAATGTATATGCACCCAGTTACAGGGTATGTGGCTCTTTAAAAGAATGTTAGCAGCTTTAAAGGGAGACATAGACTCCGATACAATAGTAGTGGGGGAGTTCAATACCCCACTTCCATCAAGGACAGATCAACCAGACAGAAAATCAAGGAAGAAGCAATAGATATGACTGTATAGCTCTTAACATCCATACTCGAATTTGGTGATGTCTGTTAATGGATTGGTGGTCAGAGCTGCAGAAGTTGTGTAATTGTCCCATGAACTGGGGTGTAGTTCATTATGAATGACAGTTTTATTGTCACCTCTAGGCACAGTGCACCAGATTGTGGGTGACAAGTGCCTACTAGTTTCTGCAGACTCGTAGGGGCAAGGCTTTTCTTATTGGCCCATATGATGATCCTCATTGATAGAGGGCTGAATGGGTGACCTTTTATGGCCTCCAGTGATAACCTCCTCCAGGCAGGATGCCCAGGAACCTCTCAGTGCCACATGTGTGGGGACAGTGCCGCTTGTATGCTTCTTAGGGCATCAACAGGAGACATTCTTAAGAACTGATTGTATAGCTATTTACTGGGCCACAGGAGAATGGCCAGGACTCTTTGGGTGCTCCTCTAGATCCTTGATGGATCAGTAGGGCTTCCTGACTAATACCCAGGGTCTTTGTTGAGCCGCTCAGGGCAGGCTTCAGGTTGCTTCAGTTATTTTACAATACAATTTATTTACATTTCTGATAAATTCTTAATGATTATTGCAAGTGTTGCCTCTTCACCATGTCTACGTTATTACCAGAATCTCCTGGTCATGGAATATATGAAGCACAAGAGCATTATCACATAGCAGTTGTCCTATTACTTCCCAAAGAGAAGTTGGAGACCATTATGTGCATTATGTGGTACAATAAAATGTGACAAGGATCTTGGGAAGAAGTCTTGCAATTTCTGTTTAAATTGGCTTCTTTTCCCTGCCGTCTCTCTCTCATAGCCAGTGAAGATGAGTGTTCCAGTCAGCATGGAAAATCTTCCTATAAACAATGGAAGTGGACAGTCCTTTGGACTCATTCTTTATGAGACTCCCATCTGCTCTGGAGGCTGTCTCCATGCTCATGCTGAAGATATGGCCCAGGTCAGTGTCTGAAGCTGTCCTTACGATACAGCAAAGGTGCGGCCTACCTCTGCCATTGGGGAGGGTGTTTCGTCATTGGTCCGCATTACCACCTTGACGGCATTGACTGCATCTCTGATGTGGGGGGAACTGGAAATGCAAAGTCAAAACAGACTTCCTCCCTTCTTTAATGCAGCTGAAATTCTACCGCACTCTGACACTTAGTTTCCAAACACCTGTGAGCACCAGAACTAGTCCTTTCTTCTTGAGGACCTCCTTCTGCCTATGCCACATCTGGTCTTGCTTCATGGATGTGAGCCTGTTGGTCTGAAACTGGCTGTCTTTTTGTGCAGGTGTTTCTAAATGACTCAGTGTTAGGAATCTTAAATGAGAACATTCGGAATGTGCACATTCCTGCATTCAAGGTATGTAATTCTAGGGTCCATGTGATGCCCTAGGCCCCGTTAAATGCAGGTATAACCTGGCACCCTTCCATAGACTGACTGCTTTCTCTCCCACTACTTTGTTACTCCCTTGTGTCCTCAACATGAATTGTGATGGGACGTAAGCATCATGAATGTTCCGGGCCCTGGTCCATGAGGACCCACAATGTACAAGCTACAGCATGAATGAAATGTCCTCATTAAGAGTCAGTCCTCAGTACTTGTTTGGGTCTTTGATTAAAGAAAGAATGTGTTTCTCAGCCCCTCCAAAGAGGGTCAGCATGGGAGAGGGGCGTAGTTTATGGAAGAAGGAAACAAAGGAGCCTTTAAGAGACAGGGATACTGCGGACCTGTAGGGCCTCTTTTCCCCCTGTGTATATCTTTCCTCTGAAACTCACATGAAAGAATAGTTTTTAGGATAAGAACCCAGCCTGGTTACACAGCTTGCAGCGCATTTGTCTGTTCCCAGCAGGGCTGCCAACCTCTGAGGATCCTCGTGGAGAACCAAGGACGATTGGTTTTTAGACAAAAAATGCTTTATGAGCGCAAAGGTGGGCTCCAGGCCTGAGAAGCAGGCAGCAACTTCTCTTCATTTACTTATAAACTAAAACTTGGGTTATGCTGGGCATGGGAAGATAGCCATGAGGCTCTCAGCAGTGGGATACTGGGATCCTAAGACCAAAGATGCGAACACCTCCCTTTGCCTTGTGCTACTTTCTCCAGTTCACCAGGGCATACAAGTAGAGCAGTTACGTTGGGTGCTGCCTTGTCCTTGATCGGGGCACAGTCTCCTGTCCACAATTTTAGGGAGTTTCAATACCAAGTTGGCAACTAACTGAGGGTGCAGAAATTGAAATAAAATAACCTTCAGTCACAGCATGTCAGACAAGTGTTTGCCATACTGGTTGTATCCTGATAATGAGGCATATACCTGCCTTGTTTCTTCGTCCTAGACACTGGCGACTGTCCAATCTTTCCTATTTGTATCCCCTATGCTGTCCCCCTCTGCAGGGTTAACTGACTCCGTTAGCCTCAATAAGGTGACCCTGAAGGGCTATACCATCTACTCCCTGGACATGAAAATGGACTTCTTTGACAGGTATGTTCCTGCCTATCCCTAGTGGACACTTCCAGTGATCGGGTAACTCTGGGTTTTCACCCTGCTCTCTTTGCAGAGAAAGAGCCCACGACTCAGAGAACTGAACAAACTGGGTGTATGTTTTCAACTGCTTTGACCACAGAGCACGTCTCCTAATTCCAAGTCTAATGCATCCACCTCATCCATCTCCCTGAGACAGGACCCTAGTTCCTCTGAGGCAGTCTAACCTCAGATTGCAGACTAGAGCTGGGGTAAGTTTTCTTCCCCCTCATGTGTTGCTGTTCTTGCAGGCTGCGCTCTGCCACCTGGAGGCCCATCACAGGGAGTTATGAGGGCCCTGCCTTCTACAGGGGAACCTTGAGAGCTGGCCCTTCTCCCAAAGACACCTTCCTGAGCCTACCGGTGAGTAGGCCCCTCCATCTGCCCTCGCCTTCAATCATCTTTTTATTCAATTAGTCTCAAAGAAAACCTAGTGTTCCTGGTTGGAATATATATCCCTTTCCTGCTTCCCTCCACTTCCTCACTGCCAACCAAACCACCCACCCTCAACTTTGTTGAAACACAAGTGCAGTTTCTTACACTAATAGCACCATCTATAAATTGTGCTCTGCTTCTTGAGTTTTTATAGCAGAGACAGGCTAGGTTAAGCAGGTATATTGTTTTATTATGAATACACAGCAGTAACATGAATGCCCCAAGTGCTAACAGATCCCAAAAAGATCACCAAGTTGGCATTTCATAATTTTTATTTTTAGATTTTATTTATTTATTTATTTATTTGAAAGTCAGAGTTACACAGAGAGAGGAGAAGCAGAGAGAGAGAGAGAGAGGTCTTCCATCCGATGGTTCACTCCTTAATTGGCCGCAACAGCCAGAGCTGCACCGATCCAAACCCAGGAGTCAGGAGCTTCCTCCGGGTCTCCCACGTGGGTGCAGGGGCCCAAGGACGTGGGCCAGCTTCACTGCTTTCCCAGGCCACAGCAGAGAGCTGGATCAGAAGCGGAGGAGCCAGGTCTCGTACTGGCGCCCATATGGGATGCTGGTGCTTCAGGCCAGGGCGTTAACCTGCTATGGTACAGCACTGGCCCCGGCATTTCATAGTTATCATTGTGACACAAGATATGATTTTAGGACTCTTTGCCATTACTCTCCACTAATGTAACTACCATTTTTGCTTCTTGTTTAGTGTTTTATATTTTGAATTATGGAAATTGAATCATAAGACAGTCATTCTTTTTATTAAACTTTTTTTTATTCTTCATTGTGAAATTCAACCATTTGTTGCAGGGAATTTTTCATTTTTAATGTTCTTTAACAAAGAGACCACAGTTGTTAAAGTGTTAATACTACTTTTGATGGAAATTTGGATGTTTTTCAGTGTTTGGCTAGTTTAAGTATTTAGACTCTTGTATTTATGTTTTGCAGTGAGATATGTTTCTCAAGTTTTGCTAGCTAGGCTTAGGCCTAATAAAGATTTGAGAATGGGACTTTGTTTTAGAAGAGTATTATTTCATCTGCATTTCTTTGATTTCATAAGTAAATCTATCTAGAGCTAACATTTCATTAATGGGGTTGTTTGTAGATGTGGATATAATTTAAAGATCAATATACTAACATGATTTTATGTCCATTTCTAGTAATTTAGATAAATGTTTTTCTATGAGTTTATCCCATTCATCTAAATATTCAAATATATTGATTAAAATTTTTCATTTTTGATGTGTAAATTGATAGTACCTTTCTCTTTTTCTTTTCTGTGTAATGTATTGACACTTTCCTTCAATTCTGATAAGTTCTTTTTGATTAAAAAATCAACTTTATTAATCTTCTAAGGAGATTTTGTTTGTTGTCTCTCTTATTGCATATTTAGTTTCTAAATCATAACATTATTTTTTATTTTGCCCATTTTACTCTTAATTTAGTAGTAATTGTTTTATTTTAAAAAACTTCTTTAGATAAATTCTCAGTTCACTAGTTTTTATTCATTTTATAAGCATAAATTTATCCTGTTATCATGGATGTGCGGATTATGTGGTGTCCAACAATTTAATTTTTAACTTGAGGTGAAATTCTCATACCATAAAATTAACCTTTTAGAATGAACAATTTGGTATCACTTAGTACCTTCAGAGTGTCATCTAGCCACTACCTGCTACTCAAAAACATTTTATCACAACACTAAACTCTGTATCATGAACCAATCACTCTTCCACTTTCTTCCCCACCCAACCTTAGCAATACCAATCTTTTTTTAACTTTGATAATATTTGACATCCTTGGTTAACTTTATTTCAAGATATTTAAATATTTTGTAGCTATTGTGAATGGGATTGATCTTAGAAGGTCTTTCTCAGCTATGGCATTGTCTGTATACAAAGGTATTCATTTCTGTGTCTTGATTTTATATCCTGATATTTTAACAAACGCTTTTATTAGTTTAAGTAATCTCTTCATGGAGTATTTTCGTTCCCTGTATATAGAATCATTTCATCAGAAAATAAGGATAGTTTGACTTCTTCTTTCCCTATTTGTATCCCTTTGATTTCTTTTTCTTGTCTGATGGCTCTGGCTAAAATTCCCAGGACTATATTAAATAGCAATGGTGAGAGTGGGCATCCTTGTCCAGTTTTAGATCTTAATGGAATGTCTCAAATTTTTCCCTGTTCAGTAGGATGCTGGCTGTGGGTTTGTTATAAGTTGCTTTGATTATGTTGACAAGTTTGCTTTAAGATTTTCATCATAAAAAGGTGTTGCATTTTGTCAAATGCTTTATCTGCCTGTATTGAGATAATCATATGTTTTTTTGTCTTCACTTTGTTAATGTGGTGTATCACATTTATTGATTTTCAGATGTCGAACCATCCCTGCATACCAGGGATAAATTCCACTTGGTGAAGGTGGATCTTTACGATGTGTTATTGGATTTGAATGGCTAGTACTTTGTTGAGGACTTTTGCATTGATGTTCAGCAGGGAAATTGGCCTGTAGTTCTCTTTCTCTGTATCTTTTTCTGGCTTAGGAATTAATATGATGCAGGCTTTGTAGAAGGAGTTTGGATGGATTCCCTCCCTTTCAATTCTTGTTTTTGCTGTATCCTATGTTTTTATATGAGGTATTGTAGCTTCATTTTTTTCCAGAAATTTTTTGATTTCTCTCTTGGTTTCTTTTATGACTCACTGTTCATTTAGGAGCATATTGTTCAGTCTCTATGTATTTGCATATGTTCTTGAGCATTTTTAATTTAAATATATGAATGAGAACGTATATTACATATTTTTATTATTTACGTGGAAGAGAGACAGTGGAAGAGACAAACTTTAGTCCACCAATTCACATCTCAAATGCTCGCAAGGGACAGGCCATGTCCAGGTCACAGCTGAGAGACTAGATCACAATCAATGTCTTCCATGAGGTGACTGGGGTCCACCTATTTGAGCCATCACTGCTACCTACCAAAATCTGCATTAGCAGAAAGCTATAATCAGGAGCCAGAGTAGAAACTCCAGTGCAGATCTTGGAGATGGAATCTTAACTGGTGTCTCACATACTAGGCCAAACACCTGTCCAAGCTATTTGTGTTTCTGAGTGTATGTGAATGCCTGCCTTATTTCAGTTAACATAACATCCTCCAGTTCCATCTATATTGTCTCACATGACAAGAGTTCTGTCTTTTTGTGGCTGAATAATATTCCATTATCTCTATATATTCTATTTTCTTTATCCAGTCATTGCTCAATAGGGCCCTTGGTTGATTCCACATCTTGGATATTGTGAATAGTGCTAAAACAAACATGGAAAGTTCCAGTATCTATTTGATATACTGATTTTAATTTTTTGGCTCTATATACAGCAGCAGAATCGCTGGATCACATGGCAGTTTTATTTTTAATGTTACAAGGAAACTCCACTCTGTTTTGCATAATGGTAGTATTAATTTACATTCTCACTAATGGTGTATAAATGTTTGCCTTTCTCTGAATCTTTGCCAGTATTTACTATTTTTTGTCTTTTTGAAGGAAGCTATTCTAAGTCAGGTGAGAGGATATTTCATAATGGTTTTAACTTGCAATTATTTCTCTGATGGTTATTAATGTTGATCTGTAATTTATATACTTGTTGCATATTTGCACATTTCTATATCATAATACCTGTTCAAATCAGCTGCCTATTTTATTGGACTATTATTTTGATTTTTATTGTGCTTATTGTTATGTTTTTTGAGTTCCTTAGTTGTTTATTATATTAATCTCTTCTTGGATGAAGTTTGCAGTATTTTCACCAGTATGACACATATTTGTTTACTTTTATTGTTTTAATTTCTGCACAGAAAAGTTTTAGTTTTATCATCCCATTTGTCTGATTTGTGTTATCATTGTTTTGCAATTTTAATCCTGGAGTTCTTTTTCTTGCTTGGTCAAATTTATTTTTATTTATTCTATTTCTTATTGTAGCTGGTATTTGGGAATTACTGTCCTGATGTCTTTTGCATAGGCTTATTGTTTTCATATAGAAGTGGTGTTAAATTTTGTGCTTATTTTGTATTCTGCAACTTCTGTTTTGTTTTTTATTTTTAAATTCTTTTGTATTGATTTTTTTCATTGACTCATAGGTTGTTCAAATGTATGTTGTTTAACTCCCATTTGTGAACTTCCCACCCTACACTCCCTTCTACCCATGCCCCCATTCTTCCTCCTCCTTCCTCTCTTAAGTTTACAATGATATAATTGTACTTTACTCAATACTCATGAGGTTAACCCTAAACTGAGTAAAGATTTTAGCATATAATAAGGAGAATAAAAAACACTGTTCCTCAACTGTAGAGAAAAGGGCTGCAAATAATAATTGAATATATATACTCTAATATGTATACATATATATATTCTATATATATACATATCACAAATTATTAATCCAGTCATTGGATGATGGACATCTTGGTTGATTCCATGTCCTATCTGTTGTGAATTGAGCTATAATAAACACAAGGATACAGATAACCCTTTTATATTTTGATTTCATATTCTCAAAACACATGGGACAATATTTCATGCCGTGGAGCCTTAATAAATAATGTGCACTGTAGTTGGAACTCTATTGTAACTAGGTGCCAGGTTTTCTTTGTTGGAAGGTCTTTATTACTCATTCAATCTCCATCTTGATTAATGAACTGTTCAGGTTTTCTACGTCTTCATGACTAAACTTTGGCAGGTTGTATGTCTCCAGGAATCTGAACACTTCTTGTAGAGTTTCCAATTTGTTGGCTACTGGAAGAGTTGCAAGTGATAGGAGAGACAGGACAAGGGGACTCCTCCTCTGAATAGCACCACCACCAAGTCCCAGTGTGCGTCTCTTATTGACAAGGATTACCTCAGCCATTTGTATAGTGCATATGTGTGCTCACATAACTCTAAGATAACTTGTAACATTACTTGATAATCTTCAGGACAGGATTGTCAAGCCATTGGTGGGCACCTCGGCTTCCTAGATAAGCAAGTCTGGTTAGTTATCTGGTTACTTATCTGTTGACTAGATAAGCAAGTCTGGGAAAGCACTCCATGTCCTCATGGGAGCCAAGGTTCCTCATGAGAATTCAATGCTCTTTTTTTTTTTTTTAAAGATTTTTTTGTTTATTTGAAAATCAGAGTTATACAGAGAGAGGAGAGGCAGAAAGAGAGAGAGAGAGAGAGAGAGCTCTTCCATCTGATGTTTCACTCCCCAATTAGCCGCAATGGCTGGAGCTGTGCCAATCTGAAGCCAGGAGTCAGGAGCTTCTTCCAGGTCTCCCACAAGTGCAGGAACCCAAGGACTTGGACCATCTTCCACTGCTTTCCCAGGCCATATCAGAGAGCTAGATTGGAAGTGGAGCAGCTGGGTCTTGAACCAAAGCCCATATGGGGTGCCGGTGCTTCAGGCCAGGGCGTTAACCCACTGCACCACAGCACTGGCCCCCAATGCTCTTCTTTTAATAGGTAATTTAAACCTTAAAAAGTTTCTGTGGCCCCATCTTGAGTGCAGGAGGAGTGTGTCCTCACAGAGAATGCTTTAGCAGAATCTATGTTCCCTACAGTTGGCACATAGCTGTTTGGAGTAATTTTTGTGGTGCCCTTTGTTACATCTCTGCTTTCACTGGTGATTTTATTAATTTGTATCTTCTCTTTTTTTGGTTATTTGGCCCAATAGTATATTAATTTTGTTTATTTTTTCAGAAAAACAGCTGTTCATTTCACTGATTTTTCATGTTTTTTGTTCCAGTTTTGTTTATTCTCTAATTTTAATTATTTCTTTCCTCCTACTAACTTTGGGTTTGGGTTGTTGTTTTCCTGGGTCCCTGAGGTGTATTGATATATATTAATTTGAATTTCTGCATTTATTTTAGGCATTTGTGGAAATATTTGTTGGTTTTCCCTCTGATGGATTTTATCTTTGAACTGTGCCTCTGTGGCTTAGTGGAGAATCTGCTCTTTCAGGAATACTCAGAAGCGGGTGCTGGTTGTGGCTAGAGAGCTCTGATCATTGCTCCAGGCTGGAGTGAGTATCCGGGCTGACACCCAAGTTGAGCGTGGTAGATCTCTATTGTCAGCAGGCAGGAGGATATAATCACCTCTGTTGGCAAAATCTCACCCTCCCAGTCTCTCTTCAAGTGATGAATGCCTGGGATTAGCAAAGCACTCACCCCTGCTGCTGCATAAACCACACCAAGGATCTGTGCAGTCCTCTTTGTGAGCCTGGATGCCTCTACAATTACCCACCTCAGGCTTCATGGAGCTCTGAGCCTCTGGCACCAGACACAGTGATTGCCCAGAGACTCAGCTACACCCTGTGCATTATGCACTTGCAGATGACCCACTCTGCCCTGCAAGCCTGTCCTGTCCTTGGATAGTGCAGAGGAGTTCCCAGAGTCAGCTGACTGTGGGTGCTCCATCTTGGTGGTTTGAGCCCCAGATCCTGTGATATGGTGAGAGGAAGCCAGAGGTTGGTGTACCTCACAGTCCTATGTCAGTGTCCAGCTCCCTGTAAACCAATTAGCCGGACTAAGTCAGTGGGGAATGTGTTTTTTCCCCCCTCTTGTAAAATCCCTCAATCATATGCTCATACAAGAGACTCCACAACCACTAATTGTGTCAAAATGGTGCTGGGAGCCCTTATTTGGGAGTGAGGAGAGAGAAACGTGCATTTTCTCCACTGGATTAGGCAGATACCTTGCTCCCTGTTAGTGGTCCAGGATGGACTCCGTATGGTCTGCCAAGGTCTGCCTCTGGCAATAACACCAGTGGCACGCATGCTACCGGCTGCCCTCACCTTGCTCTCCTAAGCAGGCCATCTACCTCTCGGCTGTCGGGTCACGTGTGCTTCCCGTGCCTGTTGCTGCACGTCTTCACCTTCCATGTGGATCCATGGCATCCCTCTTCCTTTTGTAGAATTTCCACTGCAGGCATCTCTCCCAGCTCCTCCTTAGGAATGCATTTCCTCCAGTTTCTTTTCCTGCTAAAGCAGCCAGTCTTTTCCATTTCCAGCCATCTTGGAATTCCTGTATGTATTTTTATCTATACCTCAGAAATACATGAATTCTGTACTTGTTAGGTCAATGTTTCATCTATGTTAATTAGTAAAAATTAATGAATCTTCCTGTTTTAAATGTTTATATCTTTGTTTTATTGTTTATTAACTATCGAATGATTGTGTGAACATTTTCTACTATTACTGTGAGTTGTTTATTTCTCCTTTGTTCTTTCCATTTTCTTCTTTATTTTGAATCTAAACTTCTGACTAACTTTCCTTCACATAGCACATATACTTTGGCTAAATTAAACATTTTACCTATATCTCACTTTATCTCCAATACTATTCATTGCCCCAAAACTTTATTCTTTTTGATCCTCGCAAAGCTATTACAACTATCTATTGGTTAATCTTCACATGTCATGTCGTTCTCCATGATTTCTCTTTTGTTCCTATCAGCTCCCTTATTTTTGTAACAAGTCTTCTATACATGGCAAGAAGATGAACCATCCACTACTAGAGGTGGCTAGAGGAACTACAAAGCACCTTATTACAACAGAGCTGCAACTACAAGTGGCTCCACGGCATCAAATTTTGTCCCATACACTTTTGAGATTATGAAAATCCCAGCTCAGCTTCTGAAAAAACTCTCCCTGAGAGAACAGATGTCTCTCATGGAAACCGACCAGGCTGTTTATCTTTCCTTTCCCCTTCTATTCCTAGGTGTCATGCTTTTCATTGTATTACAAAGTTGGTAAAAAAGACTACAGCTTTTATAGTTGTTGTAACCATCAGTGTTTGTTGCCTAATACATACTTTGAGTGCAGACACATGCTCTTAAAAAACATTATATATCATATGGCAGGAATAATAGTATGATTTCCCTCGGTATATTTCTATTCTTTGTTCTCTCTTCTTTCCTAGACAGCTGGGTAGAAGTTCTACAACATTCCCAATTCTAAACTCACTTCCACTCCCCTTGCTCTGAGCATCTAAATCATTTAATACCTCCTTAAGTAACTCACGTTTACCTTGCCAGTACACATCTGGTCCTATCTCTCAAGTCTCCATCTTTTCAGGACTGGAATTACGGATTTGTATTCATCAACGGCAGGAATCTTGGGAGATACTGGAGTATTGGGCCTCAGAAAACACTTTATCTTCCTGGGGTCTGGCTTCACCCAGAAGACAATGAGGTGAGTCACCCCAGTCCCTGCTATGAGGACTAACAAGACTTGCGATTGACTTTCATCCCCATAATCTGAATTGCAGCATTCATCTCATTGTATGATACATTCACATTTCTTAATCTTTGTCACTGTTGAGCTATCATTTCTTTTCAGATCATTGTGTTTGAGAAAATTATGAATGGTTTATTCATCCGGTTTACTGATGAGCCCAAGCTGTAAGACTACGTTTTAAAACATTTTTGTGGTGCCGGCTCTGTGATGTCACAGGTTAATCCTCTGCCTGCAGCGCTGGCATCTCATATGAGAGCCAGTTTGAGTCCTGGCTGCTCTTTGTTCAGTTCAGCTCCCTTCCAATGGCCTGGGAAAGCAGTGAGAGATGGCTCAGGGGTTGGGCCCCTGCCTCCACATGGGAGACCCAGAAGATTCTGGTTCCTGGCTTCAGATCAGCCCAGCTGCATCTATTGCTATTGCGACCATCTGTGGAATGAACCAGTGGATGGAAGATCTCTGTCTCTCTCTCTCTCCATCTGTAATTCTGCATATCAAATAAATAAATAAATCTTTAATAAAGCTGTTTCTTGCATTGTTGAACTTCAACTATCAGAACTTTTTCAGAAAGAAGTTTAATCTAAGAATATCCAAAACAGCATTGTATATGATATCAAAAATGTGAAAGTAACTTTAAAATGGTATTTTAGGTGTATTTCATGTTGCTTCTTCTAATTTTAGGTTTTAGTTTTTAAAACATCTTCAAAATCTTCCCTGATTGATTTATCAAGTTAACCACTTATTGTTTAGCATGTGCTTATTCTCTAATGCAATGTGCCTTTACGTAGATATGAATAAAATTAGACTGTAAACTGGGAAAATGGTAAGGGTCTCTCAAATATTTGAGACTAAAGATACTTTCCTTAGAGTGCCAGAGAATAGATTACATTTCCTGAATGGAAAATGTCAGGCTATATATATATGTGTGTGTGTGTGTGTGTGTGCGCGCACGTGCGTGTGCGTGTGTGTGTAGGAGCAAGGGAAGTCAAGGGGCAATGGACAATGTCCTTAGGCATCTCCCTGAACTGTATGTAAAGTGCCTGATGAGTCAAACCCAGTCAGAGAAGAAAGAAATTTAGTTGTTTCAGGCATAACAAGGACTAACATGGGAACTTCTGTGACTTTGACTCCTTGGCTATCAGGGTATACTCAAGGAGTCAAGGCTATTACTTATAGTTGGCAGATATTCATGATATTAGCCAACTTGTTTCCATAAACCATTCTCAAGTGGCACAATTAGAGGCCAATTATATAAACAAAACAGATGGCTGATATATTCAAATTGTTGGATGATAAAGTCTTGTCATCTTATTACATATGTGTCCTGGAGGCTTCAAGTAATTTAGTAAACACTTCAATGAAAAGGGAAGAAGGAGCCTCCTATTTGGAATGAAGACAAAAGAGTCATATTATGCTCTCTCCCGTCGGAGCTGGATGAGTTTGTCACTGAGTGAGAATCCTGTCATGTAGCCATTCAGTTCTTTCTTTGTTCCCCATGGCTATGGCCTCTAACTTAGGAGTTCTTGGAAACTCTAATGTAAGAAAGGAAAATAGAACTTGCAGAGCTGTTGATGAAGACTGAGTTAGAGTTCAGATACAACATTTGAGTCATTTGCATTCCCTGAGAAGACCTGGCACATCCAAGTTCTTTGCATCTTGACAAGCCCTTGCTTTATAGAGCCCTGCATGTTAGTGGATGCAAACTGCTGTATCTTTGTAGTTTTGATCTGCATTCCCTTAAATGTCATTGCTTATTCACATACTTTAAGGATGTAACAATGAAGCAATATAACTGGATGTTGATATCACATAAATAGTCTGAAAAATAATGTGCTCACATCTTTTATTTCCACGGAAGAAGGCCATGTCTTTCAGCAGGTGTCATGGAAAGTATCTTGTCCTCTGAAGGCAGAACAATGCATTTACTCTCATCAGATTGAAGAAAATGAAAAATACTTGCTTATATAGCTTCTATGTTATTGTTATTATTGTCTGAAATTATGTTGTTAAGACTTTTGAATAAGATTTTTTAAAAATAAGATATATGGATTCTCATTCAAAGTCTCTTGATATATCAAGTAAAGGGAGAAAATAGTCTCAAAACACATTTTATATCATGGATTTGTTTTATTTTTTTTGAGCAATACTATATTTTTAAAGAAGATTTTATTCATCTGTTTGAAAGCCAAAATTACAGAGAAAGAGGGAGAGGCCAAGTGGTTTTCCATCCACTGGTTCACTCCCCAGATGGCTGCAATGACTGGGGCTGAGTCAGGCTGAAACCAGGAACCAGGAGCTTCATCTGGGTCTTCCTGTGGTTGGTAGGGCCCAAGCTCCTGGGCCATTTTACACTGAATTCTCCAGGCCATTAGCAGGGAAGTAGACTGAAGAAGAGCAGCCTCAACATGAATCAGTGCCCATACGGAATACTGGAATCACAGGCTATGGCTTAATTTCCTATGCCACAAGGCTGTCCTCTGAAAATTTTTTTTATAATATTCTGAAATTACTTTCAAAATAAGGAGCTGAAGGTCTTGAATGAAACATACAATATATGCAATTCTCTAGTCACTTTTGGCATAGCCAAAATGTTTGTTGTCAATTGTAATAGCATGATACTGTTGTATAAGAACAGGCCACCAAAGGTGGATGGTGCCATAAAACAGAAGAAAGAGAGTACATCCAGATTACATAGAGGATAATTTATTTGAGGGAGGACAGATTGTAAACAATAGCATGATAGAAGGTGACCATAAGACAGACATGTGTCCAGGTTAAGAGCCAGGAAAAAAAAAGTTTATAAAATACTTGCCCTTTAGTTGGCTGGATTGAACATGGACATTTCAAGAAATATTACCAATAATAGAAGATATTTCAGTTTTCAGAGAAGAGACAATGCAGTTATCAGACAGGAGTAGAAGGCTATCTTAATAATGTTGTTTATCCACTGGGCTTGGGATATCCCTCATGTTTACTTGAAGAATAATATGGCAGTTCCTTCAAAAAAGGCCACAATCCTGTCAGACTGAATTCTCACATTCCATATCCTTGCAGCTGCTCTTAAAATCCGATGTTCTCCCTGCCCATGATATTGTCTGAGATCGTATGTGGTCTTTAACATGTTGAAATGTCATCAGACGGTTTTTCTGACTTACAGATAGAGCTCATAGCAGCAATAGAAGTGCAAGCTTGAAGACTCAAAAGATGATTATACAGATGACAAAACACGTAAGCTTCATAACTTTGTGCACGAAGGTGATTCCACTTTAGCAAAGACTTACTTCAAAAGAGTCCAAATGAAAGATCGGGAAAAACCTCTTTAGGAAAACCTATGTATGAAAAAATTAATGTTTATTAGTTACTAAAAATGGCAAATCTGCACTGTCCAACAAGACAATACTGGTAACATGCTGCTTATTCCTGCTAAGCCACACTGTCAGAGATGGATAAGGCAAAGACACGGAGGACAGGCTTCCGTGAACATGTCCATGTTTATTCACAAGTATATGCATAATAAAGGAGCAATAAAACAGGTGTAACCAATTCTGGGGAACACTGACCGTAGAGCAGAACGGACACTGGAGCCAATATGACTATCCAATCAGCTTGAGTGTCACATAGCTTCCCAGGTGTGCTTAATGAGCCTGGGTTGCATCCCGGAGTTCTTTACCTGATTAGCAGAAGGTGGGGGTGGGGAGAAATGTGCCTGGGCTCAAGCAACTGCTGAGATTGCCCACAGTAACATATCTGTTAGACATCATGTCAGCAGGAGTGGCTTGGAGCTGTTGTGGTTAGGCATTCTGTACATGTTGGCCAACACAATGAGCCCACCAGTGATTCCTAAACCTAATAGCAAAATGCTGTGTCATACCCAGAGGCTGACTGTAGTGCCCCAAGGTATTTTGTGTAGCTACTCAAGAAATAAGGCATGAATACCAGCTGAGAGTCAAATAAACACAGCAGGGACTAAATTAGGCAGTCCAAGGACTCCTCATACTGTGATAAGAAATAATCTGATCCACCTGGGGACGTGAACCATTTGAGTCCTCTCTGCTGGGCTTGACATTTATGGTGTCCAAGCAGAAACATACACTGTCTGTGTAGCAACTCTGGGAGCACATGACCTGAATGAACAACGTGCACATGATTAGTATTTAGATTTGGAGCCAAATCAAAACCACGATGAAGTGTCACCTTTTCCCAGTTGGCAAGGCACTTATACAGAAATCAGCAAACAATCAATTCTGGCAAGGATGTAGGGAAAGATGTACCCTAATCAACTGTTGGTGGGAATGTAACTGGCGCAACCATTGTGGAAGATAGTATGGAGATGCCTCAGAAATCTGAATATAGACCTACCATATGACCCAACAAACCCACTTCTGAGAATTTACCTCATAGAAAAGAAATCAGCATATGAAAGAGTAATCTGTATTCCCATGGTCAATGAACTCAAGTCATAATAGTAAAGATATGGAATCAACCTAGACATCCATCAACTGATGAATGTATAAAGAAATTCTGATTATATATATATATATATGTATGTATGCATGTGTATACACACACACGCACACTATGAAATAATGTTCGGTGGATATAAGAAATGAAATCCTGTCTTTTGCAACAAAATGGGTGCAACTGGAAATGTTTATACTTAGTTAAATAAGCCAGGTCCTAAAAGAAGATACCATACGTTTTTCCTGATCTTTGGTTACTAATTGAGTATGTAAAATGTGTGTATTGGAGTGAAATTGACATTTTGAGACTTGATGATGATCACTTACAGTCCTTGTCTCTACCATTGAGGAACAGTGGTTTTTTTCTTCATATTACCTGTTGAAGTCTTTACTTAGAGTAGCATTAATCTTAAGAGTAAAGAAAAATGGAAATATATCTTTGTGAAAATTCAGAGTGGGAATAGGAGAGGGAGGAGAAAGAAGGCTGGAAGGATGGGCAGAATAGGGTCAGGTGGGAAGTATCACTATGTTCCTAAATCTGTATATATGAAATACATGAAATTTGTATATCTTAAATAAAATGCTTAGAAATTTGAGTCATGAAGACATAGAAAACCTAAACAGACCAGTGACCAAGGCAGAGACTGAACCAGTAATCAAGACCCTCCTGACAAAGAAAAACCCAGGACTAATGGCCTCACTGTTGAATTCTATCAGACTTTTAAAGAACTAACTCCAATTCTTCTCAAGATATTTAAAACAATAGAAAAGGAGGGCATCCTTCCAAACTCTTTCTGTGAAGGCAGCATCACTTACTTATAAAACCAGAAAATGCTACAATGAAAGAGAACTATAGATCAATATCACTGATGAACATAGATGCAAAATATTAGCTAATAGATTCCAGAAATACATCAGAAAGATTGTTCACCTGGGCCAAGTGAGATTTATCCCTGGTATCCAGAGATGCTTCAATATTTGCAAATAAATAAATGTGATACATCACATTAACAAATTGAGGAATAAAAGCCATTTCATTATTTCAGTAGATGTAAAGAAAGCATTTGATAAAATACAATATCCTTTTATGATAAAAACTTTAAGCAGTGTATCTAGGCACATTTATTAATACAAGGCAATTTATGACAAATCCACAGCCAGCCTCTTAACGAATGGGAAAAATTGGAAGCTTTTCCATTGAGTTCCAGAACTAAACAAGGATGCCCACTCTCACCATTGCTATTCAATATAGTCCTAAGAAGTTTTAGCCAGAGCCATTAGACAAGAAAAAGAAATTACAGGGATACAAATGGGAAAGGAGAAAGTCAAATTATCCATATTCATAAATGTCATGATTCTATATCAGGTGAACCAAAAGACTACACTAAGAGACTATTGGAACTCATAAAAGTGTTTGGTAAAGATGCAGGATATAAAATTACACAGAAAATTCAATATCTTTTAAATACAAAGACAATGCCATGGCTCTATGGTTTAGAAAAAATTTATAAGATCAATCCCATTCACAGTAGTTACAAAAAGTATTAAATACCTTGGTATAAATTTAACCAAGGCCGGCACCGCGGCTCACTAGGCTAATCCTCCGCCTTGCGGCATCAGCACACCGGGTTCTAGTCCCGGTCGGGGCGCTGGATTCTGTGCCGGTTGCCCTTCTTCCAGGCCAGTTCTCTGCTGTGGCCTGGGAGTGCAGTGGAGGATGGCCCAAGTGAAAAAAAAAAAAGAAAAATAAAGCAGGAGGGACCACAATGCCATATTTCAAGACATACTGCAAGGCAACTATAATCAAAGTAGTCTGGCAATCACACAAGAACAGACATGCACATCAATGGAACAGGATGGAAACTCCAGAAATCAATCTACACATCTACAGCCAACTTAATTTTGGCAAAGCAGCTAAAATCAATCCCTGAAGAAAGGCCAGTCTCTTCAACAAATAGTGCTGGGAAAACTGGGTCTCCATATGCAAAATATGAAACAAGACCCCTACCTCACACCTAATACAAACATCAACTCAAAATTAATCAATTTCAAAATCTATCTCCTGATACCATAAATTTACAAACATTTGGAAAACTCTGCAAGACATCAGCATATGCAAATACTTCTTGAAATATCCACAGCAGCACAGGAAATCAAAGCCCAAATTGATAAATGGGATTACATCAAGCTGAGAAGCTTATACACTGCAAAAGAAATACAGCAAACTGAAGAGACAACTGACAGAATGGAAGTAAATATTTTCAAACTATGCAATTGATAAAGAGTTAATATCCAGTTTCTATAAAGAGCTCAAGAAATTCAACAACAAACAATCCAGTTGAGAAATGAGCAAAGAGCTTGAACATGCATTTTTCAAGAGAGGAAACTGATATGGAATCAACCCCAATGTCCTTTAACTGATGACTTCAGGAAAAAATTATGGTATACATTATGGAGTACTACTCAACTGCAAAAAAATGAAATTCAGTCTTTTACAAAAAAAAATGGATGGAACTGGAAATCATTTTTCTTAGTGAAATAAACCAGTCTCCAAAACACAGATATTATGTTTACCTGATCTGAGGTAGGTAAAAAGTACCTAAAAGGTAATGTATTGGAGTGAAATGCCATTTTGAAATTCGATAGTTATTTACAACCCTTTTCTCTTGTTTTCTTTGTACTTTGTATAGGGTTAACCTTATGTTCATTAAGTAAACTAAAAATAGATCTTTGTAAAAATTAAGAGTGGGAATAGGAGAGGGAGGAGAAAGAAGGATTTGAGCATGATAGGAGAGATGGTAGGGTATGGGAAACATCATTATATTCATAAATTTGTACATATGAAATACTTGAAATTTGTATAACTTAAATTAAATAAAAAAGAAAGTTAGTTAGTTGGTAGAGTTTTTGATGTGTTGTCATAGCTTATTTCCCCTCACCTCATAAAGCATGGTGATCATCCAAACACAAAAAATTAACAAATGATAGTGAGGATGTGGAAAAAATGGTACTCTAGGACACTGTTTGTGGGAATGTAAATTAATAAAATAATTATGGAAGACAGTATGGGATTCCTCAGAAATCTGAAAATAGATCTAACATATGACCCAATCATTCCACTCTTGGTAATTTACCCAAAGGAAATGAAATCAATATATGAAGCAGTTATCTGTACACCCATGCTTATTGGAGCTCAATTCACAATAGCTCAGATAAAAGCTCAACCCAGATATCCATCAACTTATGCCTGGACAAAGATACTTTGCTATTTGTACAGAATGGAATACTATTCACCATAAAAAGAATGAAATTCTGTGATTCACAATAAAATGGATTGAATTGGAAACCATTATGCTTACCAAAATAAGCCAGTCCAAAAAAGTCAAGTAGCATATATTTTCCTTGATTTGTGGTAAATACTACACAGAGCACAAAGTGTAATATACTTGATAGAGATTGACATTTTAAAAATTTGATTATTGTTCATAGTTCTTATCTACACTCCTGAGTGGTTTTTTTACTTTCTTATTGAATTCTTTATTTAATGAAGGGTTAAGCTTGTGATTATAAAGTAAATTGAAAGTATTTCATTGTAAAAATTGGAAGAAAAATAAGAATTGGAGGAGGAGGTGGGAAGCTAGGATGGGAAGTATCAAGATGTTCTTAAAAATGTATATACAAGGGGCAGGCACTGTGGCATAGTGGCTTTATCCATGCTGAAATCCCATATGGGTACAGGTTCAAGTCCCAGGGCTGCTCTACTTCCAATCCAGCTCTCTGCTATGGCCTGGGAAAACAGTAGAAGATGGTCTAAGTTCTTATTCCCCTGCACCTGTGTAAGAGGCCTGAAAGAAGCTCCTGGCTAAGGATTGGCCCAGATCCTGCTGTTGCAACAATCTGGGGAGTGAACCAGCGGATGAAAGACCTCTCTGTGTCTGCCTCTGACTCTCTGTAACTCTGCCTTTCAAATAAATAAAATAAACAAACCTTAAAAAATGTTAAATGAAATACATGAAATTTGCTTTTTTATAAACAAATAGATAATAAATAATCTGAAGATGTCAATATTAACATTTATAATATTCTGTCTATATATTAATTACTGCAAAACAGAAAATCTGATATTTCCCTTTTTGGGTCTGGCGTATTTTACTAAGGCTAGTGATCTCCAGATGCATCCATTTGGTTGCACACATCAGAATTTCACTCTTTTTTTATGGCTCATATTTCATCATGAATATATACCATATTTTTATTTAGTTTTCAGTTGACAGATATATAGGTTATTTGTATATCTTAGATACTGTGAATTGAGCTTCTGTAAATATGCGAATACAGGTAACTTTTTCTTTTTCTTTCCTATTTTTTTATTACCTCTGAACAAGCACAGGCAGAGTGGACAGTGAGAGAGACAGAGAGAAAGGTCTTCCTTTGCCGTTGGTTCACCCTCCAATGGCCGCCGCGGCAGGCGCGCTGTGGCCGGTGCACCACGCTGATCCGATGTCAGGAGCCAGGAGCCAGGTGCTTCTCCTGGTCTCCCATGGGGTGCAGGGCCCAAGCACCTGGGCCATCCTCCACTGCACTCCCTGGCCACAGCAGAGGGCTGGCCTGGAAGAGGGGCAACCGGGACAGAATCCGGCGCCCCGACCAGGACTAGAACCCGGTGTGCCGGCGCCGCTAGGCGGAGGATTAGCCTAGTGAGCCGCGGTGCCGGCCCCAGGTAACTTTTTCATATGCTGACTTTTTTTTCTTTGAGTATATTAAGTGGGACAGCTGGGTTATATGGTCGATCTATTTTTCATTTTCTTGGGAATCTTCATACTTTATTCCATAATGGTTGTACCTGTTTACATTCCTTCCAACAGTGGGTGAAGTACTTTTTCTACACATTCTCAACAGTATTTGTTATCATTTGATTTTTGGATGATAGCCATCTGATTGGGATGACGTCATACCTCACTGCACATTTCATTTACATTTCCTGGTTGGCTTGATATCCTGAGCATATTTTCATGTGACTCTGAAAGGGCCTGGATTTAAAGCAAACCCTACCTCTCCCACTTCAGTATTTCTTAAAATTTGATATTGTGTTTTCTATGGCTTTGTTTTTATTTTTTAAGAATACTTTGGCTACTTGGGGTCACTTGCGTTTCCATATGATTTTTAGGATCTTTTTTATATCTCAGAAGAATTTTCTTAGTATTTTTACTGAGACTGCGTTGAATTTGAAATTGGTTTAGCTATTAAGCAGTTTTTGATGATATTAAATCTTCTAATCAATAACCATGGGAGATTTTTTTTACATTTTTTGAGTTATTTCTTTCAATAATGTTTTGTATTTTTCATTGTAGAGAGCTTTCACATCCTTGGCTAAATTTACCTGAAAACACATTTTTATTTATTTATTTATTTTTTGACAGGCAGAGTTAGACAGTGAGAAAGAGAGAGACAGAGAGAAAGGTCTTCCTTTTTCTGTTGGTTCACCACCAAGTGGCTGCTATGGCTGGCGCGTTGCGGCCGGCACGCTGCTCTGCTCTGAAGCCAGGAGCCAGGTGCTTCCTCCTGGTCTCCCGTGCAGGTGCAGGGCCCAAGGACCTGGGCCATCCTCCATTGCACTCCCGGGCCACAGCAGAGAGCTGGACTGGAAGAGGAGCAACCGGGACAGAATCCGGCACCCCAGCTGGGACTAGAACCTGGGGTGCCGGTGCCACAGGCAAAGGATTATATATATTTTTAAAGATTTATTTTATTTATTTGAAAGACAGAGCTACAAAGAGAGGTAGATACAGAGCAAGAGGTCTTCCATCTGCTGGTTTACTCCCCATTTGGCTGTAATGACCGGAGCTGCACCGATCCGAAGCCAGGAGCCAGGAGCCAGGAGCTTCTTCCGGGTCTCCCATGTGGGTGCAGGGGCCCAAGCATTTGACCCATCTTCTACTACTTTCCCAGGCCATAGCAGAGAGCTGGATTGGAAGTGGAGCAAACAGAACTAGAATTGGCGCCCATATGGGATGCCGGCACTGCAGGCAGAGGATTAACCTACAGCACCACAGCACCAGCCCCAACCTGAAAGTATGTATCATTTTTCTAGCTATTGTGAAGACTGATCTTGCAAGTACTTTTTAACCAAGAACAATGTTGATATGCACGAATGATATTGATTTTTGGTGTTGAGTTTATATTGTGCAACTTTGCTCCATTCTTTATGAGTTATAATAATCTCTTAGTTAGTTTTTGGGATACCCTGTTTACAGAATGAAGCCACCTACAGACATAATTTGACTTCCTCCTTTCCAATTTGTATCCCTTTCATTTAGTTTTGTTGTCTAATGGCTCTGGATAAAACTTTCAGAAATATGTTGATCAGCAACGCTTAGAGTGCACATCCTTATCTGGTTCCAGATCTTAATGGAAATGCATCTAATTCTCCCCATTTTGTATGATGCTAGCCATGCATTTGTCATATAGTGCTTTGATTGGGTTGAGGTATGTTCTTTCTAAACCTAATTTGCTTAAGATTTTTTTTAAGGAAAGGATGTTGTATTTTAAGAAATTTGTTTTCTGCATCTATTGAGATAATCATATGCTTTTGTTCAATTAGTTAATGTGATGAATCATGTTTGCTAATTTATATTAAGTGAACCATCCCTGTATCACTGCAATAAATCCCACTTGGTCCAGATGGATGATGTTTATTTATTTATTTATTTATTTATTTTTATTTTTTGACAGGCAGAGTGGACAGTGAGAGAGAGACAGAGAGAAAGGTCTTCCTTTGCCATTGCTTCACCCTCCAATGGCTGCCGCGACCAGCATGCTGCGGCCAGCGCGCCGCGCTGATCCGATGGCAGGAGCCAGGTACTTATCCTGGTCTCCCATGAGGTGCAGGGCCCAAGGACTTGGGCCATCTTCCACTGCACTCCCGGGCCACAGCAGAGAGCTGGCCTGGAAGAGGGGCAACCGGGACAGAATCCAGTGCCCCGACCGGGACTAGAACCCGGTGTGCCGGGGCCGCAAGGTGGAGGATTAGCCTAGTGAGCCGCGGCGCCGGCCGATGGATGATGTTTTTGATGTGCTTTTGAATTTGATCAGCTAGTATTTTATTGAGGATTCATTAGGAATGAATGAACAATATTCATTAGGAATATTGTTCTATAGCTCTCTTTTTAATAAAATCTTTTTCTGTTTTGGAGTAAAGAGGTTTCTAAATGAGCTTTGGGCCAAAAGCTAAAAGTTGTTACTTTCCATTAAGTAAAATCTGTCCTGGATACTAAAGGGCATCTTTGGGTAATCATGGGTAGAAGTACAAAATATCAGGCAATGTCCCTAGATACCCCTGAAATAAATTTATTAAATGATAATACCCCGAATCATGCTTCTTTAATGCCTCTACCTTTACCAAATAAGCTAACTCAGTCTTGTTAAATTGTTTATCAAATTTAAACTAGTAGAGAGGACCTCAAAGACTTCACTTTAGATGATCTTGAGGAAGAACGATTTATGGATGGCAGCAACTGTCAGAGAAGGCCAACAAAGGGCAGGAAATTCAGTAGCAATTTTTTTGTAAAACTGTTGTGGTTGTTCCTCTTCATTCTCAGACATCTGTTCAAAATACTGATTTCATTGGTTTAACACAAACTATAATTTTATTTTTTAATATTAATTTATTTATTTGAAAGTCGGAGTTACACAGAGAGAGGAAAGGCAGAAAGAGAGAGGTCTTCCATCCGTTGGTTTACTCCCCAATTGACCGCAATGGCCCGAGCTGTGCCATTCCAAAGCCAGGAGCCAGGAGCTTCTTCTGGGTTTCTCATGTGGATACAGGGGCCCAAGGACATGGGCCATCTTGTACTGATTTTCCAGACCATAGCAGAGAGCTGGTTAGGAAGTGGAGCAGCAGGGTCTCAAACCAGTGCCCATATGGGATTCCGGCACTTCAGGCCAGGGCATTAACCCACTAAGCCACAGTGCCAGCCCCAACAAACTCTAATTTTAGATACTACATATCTACACAGATTCTAAATATACTATCCCAATACAATAAGTTCATGCATCTGTCTGGAGTGAAAAAGGCATTTTTTAGCCATAAAAATTATACTGTAAGACACAGGCAAGACATTGTGAATGTCTTAGATGCATTATATTTGCCTACACAAATAGCTGTCATACATTTTAGAAGACACCAAAATACAAGTCTCTAAAATATAAAGGAAACAGAAAAGCAGATTAAGAATAACAAAAAATCCATACTGTCCAGTATCTTTATTTTCCCAGTCCCAGAGCTTCCTCCACAGCCCAATTACTTCCTTGATGAATGAATGAATGATGACAACCGAACAGGGAGAAAGGCAACAGGGACTCTGGATTTATACAGAGGACAAATTAGTACTCCTTGAAGATTCTTAATGGAAAGCTATAAAAAAATCCATGATACCTTTGACATGGGTAGAGGTACAGCCCTCAGTATGATAAAAATGATCCTTGTTTTCTGTCTCTGGAAAATAGTCATAGAATACAAATCATAGAATATCATATATTTTTACTTTAAAAATACACTTATTAATTTGAAAAGCAGAATTTTCATTGTAAATACAAGTCTCTAAAATATAAAGGAAACAGAAAAGCAGATTAACAAAAAATGAGAGAGAGAGAAAGAGAGAGAGAGAGACAGAGACAGAGAAAGAGAGAGAAATCTTTCATATATCTTTTCACCCCTCATATTTCTGCAATGGCCAGGGCTGAGCCAGGCTGAAGTCAGGGTCTTTGGATTCCATTTTAGTCTCCTATCGGTGTGGCAGGGTCCTAAAGCAGTCTGACCATTTTCGCTGCCTTCCTAGGCATATTGTCAGGGAACTGGAACAGAAGTGGAGCATCTGAGTCTTGAACTGGCACTCATATTCGATACTGGGATTGCAGGTGTCCGCTTACCCACTGTGTCACATACTGTCACCAGAATGTCAGTTCTAAACATGCCATCTGTTTTGGCACTTCTTTCTGTCTCAATTAATGACTACGGTATTTCTAATAATCACTAGATCATCCCTGCCCTAGATGCTATGAAAAATCTTGCAAACGTTACACAACGATGGCTTTGTCCTTAGCATCACCACATAGAACTGGCCCATCTGGCAAAGTCTTTAGAAGGCAAAATGGACAGACACTTCGGCAGTCTTTGCAAGATTTAGCTTCATGCTATATACATATACAAGTTACACAAATATACCTCTGTACCCTTTAACCCACGTGAAAAGATAACCCCATCAGGTAATAATTACAACTCTCAGCTCTGAAACCATTTTTTTAAAAACTTTTATTTAATGAATATAAATTTCCAAAGTAC